ATGAAGGAAGGGCACTAGAGTTTATACAGGGCCTCTGAACGAGGCATGGTCCTAGTTTTGTAGGTATCTATCCATTTTATAGGAAAGGAAGTTGAGACTCGGACAGGCTGAGTAGTTTGTCCACGAAATCAGCTGGAGTGGGAGCATTTATGCCATAGAAACTGACAAAAGCTTTAAATCGGGGTTTTTGGGTTTTTTTCCCTTGAGAGCCAGATCTTACACATTTACCAGCACATAATTGATTCTAACACCCCTCTTTCTGGTTCCAAAGTCAGTACATTTCGAAGCCCTCTGACCTCAGCTTCCTCATCTGTAAAATAACATTAAAAATGCCTACTTCATGGGAAAAAAAAACATTCATTGAGTACATTCTGGTAAGTATGAGGGACAGTGACTGGAACGAAACAAAAATGCAAATTGACTGTGATGTGCTTTGAAAGACAAGGTCCCCAAACTTCACTGTCTTGTAGAATTTCCATCATTGCTAATTGTAGTTTGTACAGAAAAAAACAAATTTCATATATAAAAACCTACACTTTGCAAAACTGTTGTGAGAATTAGAAGAATGACGGTAAACCTATGGCCCAGTGCTCTGTCAATGGTAGCCAATATTAGAAGAGTGAATTCATGTTTTTCTAATTGGAAATGGTAAAGGAAATAGTGTGAATGAATTTCATTTCAAAGCAGGACTGCTAAGTAGGTAAATGGAGAGAAGAGAATTCTAATGAATATTCTGATACACAGACTATATTGACAAATAAATCACACATTAATCTTTGATATTTCAAAATTCTAGAATAAGAGCTTTATAGCGTCAAATGTATCCAGTCCCAGTGCAGCAGCACCCTTGCCATCTGACAGATGCCTCTGCCTGGTGACACTCGGAGAAGACTCTGAGCCTTAGGACAGTGTGGGCTCCAGTGCCGGACAGTGAGTCCTTGGCCTGCCTGGAACCTCCTCTGTCCATTGCTACTCTGTTCTCTGGGTCACACAGCAGAAGTCTGTGTCATCATCACCATCGTCATATGATAATAATGGCTGTATTGGTTTCTTACTGTGGCCCTAACAAATTACCATAAATTTAGTAACGAATTAACACAAATTTATTATCTTACCTTTCTAGAAGTCAGAAGACCAAAATGGGTGTCACCTAGCTACAGTCAAGGTGTTGGCAGGGCTATGTCCCTTCTGGAAGCTTTAGGGAGAATTGTTTCCTTGCCTTTACCAACTTCTAGAGGCTCCTTCTCCCATCTTCAAAGCTAGAGTCTCTTTGACTCTGGCATTTACTCTTCTCCCCCTTATCAGGACCCTTATGATTAGATTGGGCTCACCTGGATATTCCAGGGTCTCCCAAGCCAAGGTCAGCT